TTAAAAACAAATTTAATTCAAGACCGTTTTCTAAAAATACAAATTCAATTGTTTTTATGATAACTTTTTGAGACAATTATATTATCACAAACCTTTAAAACTTATGTTTTATTTTGTTAATAATAATTATAGTTTGTATTAACTGTTTTTTGGTATGGAATTTTAATAATTATATTGTAATCAGCCATATTTCAAACATTAATAATTGGGTATTGTTTTGGTGTTCGTAGTTATATAAACATCTCAAGTGTAAACGGAATGTAATTTGTAAATAACATTTGTTTAATAAGCAAAAACGCAATTTAATATAAAAAATAATTGTTTTGCTACCAATCAGTATGAAAATAGTTAATACACATGTTATATAATATTTATTTTTTCTCGTTTAATACCAAAAAAATTTTTCTTGGTCTTTTTATCACAAAATTAATGATGAGAAGGTTTGATTTAATTTTTATTTTTATATAAAAATGATTTTCAAATTTTAATATAGTCAAAACCTAATTATTTCGTACGTTGATCATTTTTTTTGTTTTGGAATTGTGATGTATTTTTAATTACACAACATGGTCTGTCAAACTTTGTATTCATACAATTATTTTAAACTAAGATGGTTAAATATGTCCACAAATATAATTATATCATCAAAAAACCAAAAATGTGTTTTTAAATAAATTTACTAGTCATTTGATTATTGAGTATATTCAACGTGTTTATTATTTATTATAAATATTTATACAATAAAAAAGTGTTTAAAGCAGTTTTTGTTTTATTATTTTTAAACTAGTTTGTGAACAATAAATTGTTATTATATTAAAGATACAATAACAACGTTTTATGATAAATATATATTTAAAAATAACAATTATTAAAATAAATTTTAAATGTTATTGTTATAAAGATGTCTTGTGTTTTGGTGTTATATAAAATTATCATTATCAAAGATAAAAAACAATAATTAAATAATAATCAAACTGTCTACATAGTTATTTTATTGGAATTATATGATTTATGGTTGATGGACTATTACTCACACGTTTAACCAAATTAAATTCGTTTTAAAGTTGTTATTAAAATATTTGTAACACAAGATTTATTTATGAAAAAACACACTTTTGTCCTTTTGTGTTGTTTTTTGTGATAACGATTTTTCATTGATAATCACTCGAATTAGTTTTTGAAACACTTCAACAACATTTGTACCATTTTTTTGTAGATATTTCCAAAAATTGTGCATTTAAAGACTCTGCCAACACCTTTCCTTCTTTCTTTGATACTTCCCGTCGTTCTTCTCTATCGATTTTGTTACCACATAAAACAATTGGAACACGTTCTTCAACTTCCATCATTCGTTCTTTATATATCAACTCTTTGAAAAAATTAATTTGTTTAAAAGTTTATAGTCGTCAATGCTATACATCATTAAAAACCCGTCAGCTTTTGAAACATACAATTTTTGGAGGTATGAAGGCCAACCATTGCTAGCTGTGTCGACCAAATTTAATGAAATTAATTCATCATCTATTCTTAGTTTGACATTATAAATATCTTCAATTATTGGATCCCATACTTCAGGAAAAGACCCAGTTATTAATCGGATTATACAAGAAGACTTCCCAACATATCCTTCTCCTAAAACAACAATTAGAATTTGCG